CAGTAACCAACTGTAACGTCAAAATGGTTGGGTGGCAATGGGCCTTAAGGCGGACCAACATAATTGCGTACAAGATTGCATAGCCATAGGCAGAAACCGAAAACTTGGTACGTTCACTAAGGTCGGGACAATCATTTAAATTGTGCTTTATGATCGCTAGGTGAGGCTATTTGGGGTGAATAATGGGAATTCGATGTTCAATTATAAACCCAAAATGCATGCAATACTTTATTGAAAACCGTCGATATAAACTCTCTGGCATTATCCAGTCTCCTAGACTCTATGGGATAAGTAGGGTGATGAACCCTTAATCAACTAGGAGGTTTAGTAGCAATTTGTGTGGACAAACATGTGACGAGTTTGTCGATTCATCAACCAAAACCATAGTATCTATATGGTCCGCATTTTGGCTGGATTAGTCCACATATATTCCCTTGAATCCACTGAGAAAAAGGGGTGATTTCATATCTTTGGGAGGAATGATTTAGAAAATCAATTTCCCTAATGAGTAGGCTTGGTAAAAAGGTGCTTGTAGGCACAAATCCTTACTTCGGGTAAGGAGATGCGTTGTGACATCATTATTTGACCTAAGTGTCCTAGAAGTTCGTGCCAAAGCAAGTAAACTACTCAATCACCAGGCTCCAGGCCAGCCACATGTGGTGTGTTCCCAATTAGGAAACAACCCATTAGCCCCAAAACAAAGCTTGAGACTCATTTTTGGAGGTGGTGCAAAGATATTTCACTCTATTTTCTTCAATGGTTTCATTCATAATCATTGTCAACTCGAATATCCTTTAAAACTCAACGACGGGGAGAATCTAAGGTCCCTTAAATGGTAATTCAATACCATTTATACAACGAGGAGCGTGCCATTGCTCTTAATTAGGTTAGATAAACCTGAAGTCGTTGTTAGAGATGTGAGTTAGGTATAAACTCAGTGTGCGTAGTATCGTGTTCATCCAGAAAATTGACTTTCCCACATTCATACCTAATCACATGTTTAATTGAATTCAATCACATATATACAAGAAACATGATTCAATTAATTCGTATTCGATGACAATATCAATAAGATTATCCATAAGTAAAACATACACCAAACTTGAATCCAAGAACATGGAAAATATTCATAAAGGAAATGGTTTACTAAGGGGATTTGGCCAACAAGGCCATCAATGTCAAAATTCTGCTCTTCCAACAATGTTTAGTGGAGTAAAATTAGTCTCACAAATTGACTATGAGAATGGTACTCCTCAACGACAATGGTATGGGCATGAACAGGTGCATAACCAATTATCTATTTCATCGAGACGGAAGTAAATTATGCAGGGTTGAGGTTTGGAAATATTATACCTTATTCTTGAGGTTTTAGGTTTTAGGTGCCAAAGATCACGCTTCAGGCATGATGTCACTCCTTGGCAGGCCGTGATTCTACCATATGTTGTAAAAACAATTTCGAAATTGGATTGTGAGAGAGATGGACCCCAAATTAGGTTTGGTAGGCTTCAGCCGAAGCTGGAGAGGTTTGTTCGGTAAGTCTCTGCCAAAGCAGAGAGTACCATTCAGTGACCTCTACCGAAGCAGACCATATTTTTCGGTACATCCTTGCCGAGGAAGGGCATCATTGTTCGGTAGGCTCTGACTGGGTCGAACCATTTTTGTAGACTCCAGCCGAAGTGAGTCTATATCATTCAGTAAACTCCAGTCGAACTGGGTCTATACATTTCTCTCACGTTTGTGGTAGTAATCAGATCCAAGAATTTGGTAAACTTCCGCTTTCTACACTGCTGCTTCAGGAGCAAGTTAGAAACATTGAAGGACAAGAAAAGTATTCTCTAGTCAAAATTCGATCAGATTTATAAATTTCAGAATTGTACTCATTCATAAACGTAATCATGGTGTGCTTCAGGCAATGTCTTTCATGATTAAACGGTCTGTAGGAGCGAGCCAAAGGGCCATGGAATCCTTGTTCGGGAGGTACTTCTGTTTGTAATGCTTTGGGCATAAGTCTTCGAATAAAGATCATGGCAGAGGCTTATTCAGCTCTTCAATGCCATTGTTGGCTACAATGGTTTCTCAGCTTCTTGATAGTCAAGTGGAGATTCATGTGTTGTACCCACATATAAAATGGTTTTTATTAGAAATATCCAAATAAGGGAAATCGAACTTGTGACTGTTTGAAAATCCATTGAATTGGAGGGAACAAGAATGTGATTGGTGCTATGGGAATGAACCATCCATAAGCATCAAAGTTAGAACATTTGAGTTCTAAGACAAGGTTTTCATAAAAAAAAAACGTTGGGTTTTCATGGGTGTATTGTTTTATGGAAACATCAGGTTTCAAAGGCACTAAATTTGAAACTACAGGTTCAATTTAGTTTATGAACGTTTAGTTCATAAAAGAGAGGTTCCTGCAAGAACACATAATACAATATACAACTAAGTATAGTGGATTTAGGTTGCTTCAAGAACTCAAGTGTGAGTGCTTTGGGACTACGAAATGGAGTCAACGGTTCAAAGAAGAAAAATAAATTATTGAATCGTTAATGTCCAAAAGTGGGCTTTAGGCCAATAATTTTGGATTTCTTGTTAGATTAATGGACTACTAGTCACTTTTAATTAATTCAATAAATCAGGGACCATACGAGGTCGATCGTATAAGCAAAATAATGATTTCGGGCCATATTCACTTTAGATGGCTTTGGGCCAAAGAATTAAGAAAATATGGCCTAGTGTGGCTTTAACCAAAAACGTCCAAAAAATATTCCGGTATGATTAAGAAGCGGGGGATGCCAAAATATGGCATCGGGGTCGAAAAAAAAATGATGCAAACTAGCATGTGTGGGCTGGCTGCCACACATGGCCCTGCAACAAAAATTGCAGGCCAATAGGCTTGGGGACACGGCTGCCAGGCAGCCCAGTTTATTGCAGGGTAAGCTGCAGCATTTGGGCCGAATGTATGGGAAAAAAAACCCAGCAGATCATAGGCCGAGTGGACAAGCTCAGCAATGCTGGCTTGGTGGGCCGAGTGGGCGTGACAAGCCTAGCAGCGCTGGCTTGTTCTGGCGCGGACTGGCTTGTGAGTAAGTTGCCCAACAAGGTTATTATGCAGCTTGGAGGGGCTGCAGGCCCATGCAAATTTCAAACCCAGGAACGGCTGCGGGCTGCTGCTCAGCCGTAAATTTCCCATAAATTTTGAATTTTTTTTTTCGAAATTCCTAAGGTTGAAAAACCCTAATTGCTTCTAATTTTTTTTTATTTTTTGACTCACAAATTCTACATACCAAAATAATTGTGTATTGCATGAACAAATATATATATTGACAAATATATGAAACATATACATTATATATCAGAAGGTAAATATAAATGTAGGGGGTTTATACATCATGGAGAATGTTTTCATGCTTCATGGTCGTTTCAAATATCTTCATTTATTTTAAGCGTACCTAATTGGCAGAAAACAACAAAAACCTTTGAATTTGGAGAAGATCCTTTTCGGAAAGTCGGAATTGCATCTCCGATGTGTTGTATCACGTTCAACATAAAAAAAAAAATTAAATTGAATTAATAGCATGTAGATCAATTCAAAAAAATAATATATTAATCATAAAAAGAATGATTAAAAACGTAATACTCCTCTAATTGAAGATCAACTCTCTTTAGCACAGCGTTAAGAGCGTGCTGACAACGTGTTGTAGGTATAATTTACTGAACGATTATGGAGGTCATAGAGAGAGGGGTGCGGCAATAGTAGAGAGAAAGAGAGAGATGTGTAATGTGAGGTGTGTTATATTCCACCCCATTGTGCCTTTATTTATAGTAGTAGGATAGGTAAAATCCTTACCCTTTTAAAATTACAACTCTTAATAGGTAATCAACTCCTAATAGGAATATAAGAGATATTTCTAGATACACTAGGATTTAAACAATCACATTCCTAATCTAATAGGATTGCAACAAATAAGAAGTATATGATGTATATATTATATATAATGGGTATACTGAGTAATGCTACGAATACCAAATTTCTAAACTAATTTTTGTAAACCAAATGATGTGAATGTTGAAGATTGAATTATTATGTGTTAATTACCGTGTTTATTTTCTATTGATGACACATCATTTTATTTGCAAATTTGATTTAAAATTTTAATCCCCCTATCATATAGCATCTAAATATGTAAGACTTGTGCACCACAAATTATTCGCTCACCAAGTTAGACAAAAGTCATGAATAATGATATAAACATGATAGCTATGATAGCGATCCATAGAGATAGAGATAATGAAACTTGGCACAAATAAAACCTCAATTTGTATAAGAGTTATAACGTGTTGAAAAAAAAAAATATGGAGTAAGAATAAAGACAAATGAGAGAGAGTACGGGAGAAGAAATGAGAGCATCATTTCCTTCTTATTAGAGCGTCTATATATAGGCTTAGGGTCAGTTTGGGATTACTGTACTTTTTTAATAATTTGTTTTTGCTATGCCTTAAGAATAATCAGCTATAAAATAAAACAGTTGAGCGTTTGATAAACTGTATTTTCAAAAGTGTTGTGAGTATGCAAAGCAGTGTAAAAGCAATGTCTATGAGGATAAATAAAGTGATTGTTTAAAATTAATGAGCTTATTACAAGATTTAAAAATATTCTAAAGGTTGGACTCTGCTTTTTATTAAAACAGTTTTTAAAAGCAACCGATACACTGCTTTTAAAACTTACCGAAACCATTGCTTTTAAAATAAGTAGTATATTTTATTTTTTCCAAACATTTTTTTACTACTTAATTTTATAGTAAAGCAGTTTTTGGTTAAAAAAAAAAAGAAATAATAATAAATAATACCAAATTGAGCCTTAGCATTTCATAAAAAAAAAATATACTAACTAATTACATATTCACTCAAACATGTTAAATAATATTTACAACATAAAATGCTTTATTAAAACATCATAGATAAATAATAAATATAGCCAAAAGTCCCTTCAACCACAAACGTGAGAACATGAACATATCGGTAATTTTATTGAAGACATTCGCAGTCTGAAAGCAATCAGAAGGCATAACAATAAAGAAAAAGAACGTAAGACACTCTTTGGGGTAGTAAACACTTCTGTAAAGAAAAAAGAAGAAAAAAAAAAAACTTAGAAGCCGATAATGTTCCAACAAGATATATCTCATCATCTATCCATGGGATCCCTCACTTTTGTATGCGGATCTAAAAAACATGTGTGGCACACCAACTGTCTCTTGCATTCACCAGAAGAACAAAAATAAAATAAAATAAAATCGATACCAAAACCCAAAATTATATAAAAACTGAGAAGGCCAAGTCCTTCAATCATAATGGTTCTTGATAAACTGTTTGATCCCTGCAATCAGACGCTCAGTTTCTGCGGCTGTTTCCGCGTCCGCGTCGACAGCAATCTTGTTCAGATAAAAGCTATGAGTCACCCCCTCGTTGATTAGAAGCTCCACATCCTTGTTGGCCTTCTTCATGGCCTCAAAGTACTCCATTTGCGTGTCTATGATCAAGTCCATGGAAGCAACGCAGAGAAGAAACGGCGGAAGCTTCAGATTATCCAACGGTGGGGCCTCGGGACCCATCGGACAAGTTATGGGATGGTTCTTGGTGGACCCCGTTGGAACGGCTAACCCTAAGAACTTGTCCACCATGTCTAGGGTAAGGAGAGGTGACTGAGGCTGCTCCAACTCCGACTTACTCCGCTCCGCTCGCACGAAACCGGGGTGGATTGGAATCCCGCCGGCAAGTCTTAAGGGACTCAGATCCGCAGTCCCCGCTTGAGCCACCACGTGGTGGACAATGTTTCCTCCGGAGCTATCTCCAATAAGAAACACACGGTTATAGTCTGCATGGCTTAGGAGTGGCTCGTTTTGCTCCCCTCGAGCCAATGACCGGAGCCAAAGGAGAGCGGAATAGCCGTCCTCAATGGCAGCCGGGAGACGGTGCTCCGGTGCGAGCCTCTGATATACAGAGACTACAATGGCATTCGTGGAGCGAGATAGCTTAGTGTATATGTGGTAGTACATGTACCAATCAGCTTGACTTATGCAAAAGCCACCCCCGTGGAAATGGAGGATTATTGGTAGCTTGGTGTCATAACCCTCCGGCTTTCGCTTCGGTAAATAAATTCGGACGCGAAGGCCGGATGATTTGTCGGCAACAACATCTTTTGTGGAAATGCCGTCAACAAATTCATCGTGGGCTGGCACGGGCTCCACCATGAACTGAATCTCGGGAGGTCCAGTCCACTCCCGATCGACCGAGCCATCGTCGAAGACTCTTAGCCAACTAGACACCTCCTCAACTAGCCTTTTATTTTCACTGACCATGGTGATGGCAATATGGCAACTGTAATATGATCAAGAAATAAAAAGGTTGGAATGTGAGAGAGTTTGGATTGAGCTACCAGTTTTTATAGGAATATGTCATAGGTGTGACTCCAAAATGATAAAGATAATGTTAGAGAGATTAAATTTATAGATAAAATTTACAACTAAAATGATATGTCACCAATAAGAATTAACACGTTTATCAACGCTTAAGTTATAATCTAATCATTAACTTTCATGTCATTTAATTTATAAAATTTAGTCTCTCTAACATACTCAAATGATAAAGAAGCTTCAAAACTACACTGAATTTATTAGTTGAGCATAATTCAACTGTATATTAACACTAAGGATGGAAAATATGAATACAAACTCGCATTTATCAAATTTGAATGTATAATATTTCACTTACTAATGAAAAAAAATTATCATTAAATTATAATATTAAGTGACGTAATTATTATATTTTGTGAAACCTATAATGAGGCATGTTTTGGAGGTGTCAATTCGCATTTATCATGCCACAATACGTAATACGTTGATCAATTGCTATCGTGTTTTGTATACATCATTTTAATCATGTTACATATGTCGTCCTTGTAGAGTAAAGGAAAGGGATGATTTCAAGAATCTAAATTAGTTGATTGAAAAGATTCGATGAAAGGGCCTTGAGTAAATTTCAACCACAGGTTAAGCAGGAGAACGTGGCAATAGCTTCAACTTTCGGAGTAGTTCATTCAACTTACGGATTTGACAATCTTCAGCAAACCAGAGAGATTATGACCCAGAAAAAGTTGAAGGGTGCAGATAATAGATGTGTTAATTGTGGGTTGACGGGTGGGCGCGGGTAGCCACGAGTTATATGACATTCAACCTGATAACGTGGGCTGCTGCTCCCTGTGCTGGTTGTGCATGGTTGACCGATATCTTCATAAAAAAAATAAAAAAATATGAAGGAAACAGTTCTGATACTGTTTAGTTTTAACGTTAAGAATATTTTTTTACCTAAAAAGTTACTCTTGGTACTATTCATTTACCTCTCAAAGTTTCTAATTCATTTGCATTAGTTTCCTTAAAAATATAAGGGTAATGCCATTGCCAAAATGTTCGGGTGAACAGAACTCTTTGAAGTTACAAATTTTAGTGGTTTTTTTTAGTATAACTATATATTTTACGATAAGGGAAAAAGAAAATTCAGTAAGTCACACAATAAGTAACTTAATTTGGTATCAAATTCGCCATCTACGAGATTCGAATTTAAGACCTCTCATTTATAAATGAAGAAAAATACCATAAGACTGTAATACTAAGCTAGTTTAAAGAGTTGTTAATAATCTTTTTTTTTTTTTTTTTTTTTTGGTTTTTAGTTTCATTTTTTGCGGTTATAAATGAAGAGGAAGCACATAGAAAAAAAATAGCATAGAAAAATAAAATAGAGATCAATGGTGATAGTAGAAATTAAGGGAAAGATATACTCTCGAATATCTTCCACCAAAGCCACCGGATCAAGTAATCCGAACCTTCTAAATTTCATTCAACGGTCCATTTGTTTTGACTAATTAAAAGCTGTGATAATTTTTTACTGTTAAATGAAATTTGAAAAATCCGGATAACTTGATCCAATGAAACCAAAAAACCATGAAAACTAAAAATTAAGGTGAACCATAATGTCCCGACCATTTTTCACCATCTTTTGTTTTTTTTCTTCTGACTATCGAAAGTTAGTATAACATATTTTATTAGAAATTACGAGTGATAGAGTATTACCAGATGGTCAAATTACAAAGGTTGAATTTTGAAAGCGGCCGTGGGTGACACGTCAAGGCATATAAACTTTAGAGAAATGTTAAAAGAAACTATTTTAAAGTGGAATTCTTTATAAATTTTACGTTACGTCATGTTTTCAGTACAATTTTTATGACAAAATATGAATTTTGTGTCAACAACATGAAATGACGAAGAATTCATGACAAGTTGCACTTTAAAAAAATCTCCTTAACATTTCTCAAACGAAAAGTTAAGGCGAATTGGAACCTTAGTAAATACTAGGGTTAGCTACTCCGAACCAATTAACCGACAATCGACTGAACAACTCTTGGAATTCCTAATTTTTCTTTAGTCCTTTAGACTTGGCCATTACGGAAGACTAGAAAGATAGTGCATGTCGACTCATCGAATCACTTGGTAAGTTAATAAGGTGTTTGAGAGTCAAAATATTCTAAAAATTATCGAGTTGACACATTACTAGAATAAAGCACTTGCCCTACGAGATTTGGCCCGACGAGCCACATTTTGTTAAAGAAAACAATTTGATCCGACAAAATGTTTAGATGGTCGGGCAAAACTGATCAACATCTTGAATTTTGCTGAAGGCTTTGCGTGATAAAAATTTTACGGAGGGCAAAAATGAATTTGTCAGGCTACATTGGCGCCAAACGAAAAAAATGGTGCATATTGTGTAAACATTTGCTCGACGACCCATAAAGTTCTGTCATGCAAAGCCTTAGGGTTTAGAGTTTAAGGTTTCATTTCATTAGGTAAGTTGGTATATTCGTTGGGTAAAGTGAGAGACATGGTTGACATATTTAATTCTTTCGATAATTTTCACATTTGACGAAACTAGTTTCCACGATCCAACCGCAAACTTTTTAAAATATACTTCGAGATCTGATACTTAAAAAATGACAACAAAAGTAAACGTTCTGAGATTAGGCAACGAGACGAAATCATTCGACGGTTATAAAAAAAAAAAAAAATTCATGATTTAATGGTTAGTTTAGCTTAGATTTTGATAATTTTTACAAATCGACTCCTTTACACTAGAAGAATACAGTGAACGAACCCGATTATCAATTTAAAATACTACTGGATACAACAAAGCTTACATTCTACTTAATAGAAGTACATAATAACTCTAAGTGTTTGTTAAATCTATTGTTTTGACGGGAACGCATTTACGAAACTAGTTTCCACGATCCAATCGTCAAACTTATTTTAATATATTTTGAGATCTGATACGCCAAAAATTACAAAAGCAAACATTTGGATATTAGGTTACGGGATAAAATCCTTCGACAGTTAGAATAAAAAAAATCATGATTTAACGGTCATTTTAGCTATGATTTTGATTATTTATTTATTTATTTTATAAATACACTTGTAGACCCTCGAAGAATCCAATGAAAGAACCCGATCATCAATTTAAAATATTTACACTAATGAATACTGTTAATCCTCAAAATTTACTAGTTAACAAATTAAAATACTTAACTCTTAATGGGCTTTGGGTATGGACTGAAATGAAATTGACAAAAAAAATTTAAGTAGTTCACCTCTTAAAACTATAGTACGTAAGCAATACACTACTATCTTCCTCTTATGCATTTCAACGTATCAAAGTAGCCCTTAATAAAATCGTAAATTTGTAGATATTCACTTGCAAGCACGAGGAATAAGTTATACAATTAAGATCAAATATGGCGCATAGATCATAAGCATGAATAGTAAGCCATGCACATGGTGTGTGAATGAAACTAGTAAAGGTTATAACAAAAAAAGGAACAGCCGATAAAGAAAAACCAAATGTTTTAAACCCCCGATGCATACGGCATTAATGTCTCTGCACTTTTGAGGAAATGGATCCAGAAATCCACTAAATTCGGGTATCCAGACTATTGAAATTTGATCAAACAACTACAAATAGGGGCTCTTTTTAAAAGTCAGGGGCTCCTTTTAAAAGTTATAATTGTAGCCGTTTGATCAAATTTCAATGACCCGGATCCTCGAATTTGATGAATTTCATATCCCTTTCCCACTTTTGAAGTGCACTAGTTGCATCCACATTATAAGAAACGTAAATGCTAATTGACAATGGATGAGTTGGGAAACCTAAATGCTAATGCATTCACACTCGTTGGGACAGAGGTTTTGATGTCCCTAATTTCATGTCTCATTTGTGTCTCCTTTTTAGTGTTTTGATATGTGTCATCCAACTTAACTTCATAATTAACACTGCTAATTTTTCATAAATTTAATTAAAATACTAATACTGTTGTAGTGAGGAATGTGATTGTGTAATTCCTAGTGTATCTAGGATATCTTTGAATGTTCCCTTTAGTGGTTAAAATCTTATTAGAGTTGTAATCCTAAAAGGGTAAGAAATTAACTTTCCCCACTACTATAAATAAAGGCACAATGAGATGAAATATAACACACCTTACATTACACATCTCTCTCTTGTTTCTCTATGTGCCGCACCTTCTCTCTATGGCCTCCATAATTGTTCAGTAAATTATGCCTACAAAACGTTATCAGCACGCTCTTGACACTGTGCTAAGAGAGTTTGTTTTTCAATCAGAAGAGTATTACGTTTTAATCATTCTTTTTATGATTAATTTACTATTTTGAATTGATCTACATTCTATTGATTCAATTTAATTTTTATGTGTTGAACGTGATACAACGCATTGGAAATGCAATTCCGGCTTTCCGAGAAGGATCTTCTACAAATTCAAAGGTTTTTGTTGTTTTTTGCCAATTAGGTACACTTAAAATAAAGGAAGATATTTGAAACGACCATTCTCCATGATGCATGAACCCTCTATATTTATATTCTTGTTCCGATATATATATATATATGTTCATGCATTACGCAATTTTTGCTATGTGGAATTTATGAATCAAAGAATCGAAAGAAATTAAAAGCAATTAGGATTTTTCAAACCCTAAGTTTGTCGAAAGAAAAAACAATTAAATTTTTGGAAAAAAATTTGCGGTTGAGCCGCGTGCTGTCGCGCAAAACTCACCCCAAGCCGTCCCTGTAGCTCGAGGCTTGGGAGCTAAAACCGAAAGGACAGCCCTTTGGGCTTTGTTGCATGTGTGGACTAGGCCCCTGGCCTGGGTTTGAACCTGCTGGGCTTGTAGCGTCTCTAGGTTACATAATAGCCTTGCTGGCCCCCCCTTTCAGCCCAAGCATGACCAAGCTAGCGCTGCTAGGCTTGTCATGCACAGTTGGCCCACCAAGCCAGCATTGCTGAGCTTGTCCCGCGCCAAA